GCGGGCCAGATCGCAGGTAAGGGCGTTTGCTCGTCGGCCAGCGGACGGCTCCGGGCTGCTCGCGGGCGGAGCTGGGGGTCGGGTGGGCTGAGGCGGGGCTGGGGCTGGGGCTGGGGATTGGGCCTGCAACTGGGGGCTGGAGCCGAGCGCGGGGTTGGCTGGGGAAAAGGGCTGCATTGAGGGTCGAGCTCATCTGGGGAGGGGGCTGGAATTGGGAGTCGGAACTTTGGGTGGGGGTCGAGGTTAGCTGGAGAGGAGGGTGGAGTTCGGGACTGAGCCTGGAGTTGGGGTGCGTGGTTAGCTGGGGAGGGGGCCAGAGTTGGGGGCTGGGACTGTGGTTGGGGGTCGAGGTTAGCTGGGGGAGGAGGCTGGAGTTGGGGGTCAGGGCTGCCATCGTGGGTGATTTGAGGTGGGGAGGGGCTGGAGTTGGAGGTCAAGGTTAGATGGGGAGGGTGCTGAAAGGTGGCTGGAGTTAGTAGTGGTAAGCTGCGGAGGGCTTGGCTCTGGAATTGGGGTGTAGGGTTAGCTGAGGAGGGGTCAGCCGTGGCTGGGACCGAGACGGGGTAGAGAGACCACTGCAGTTGGAGGTCAGGTTTAGGGGGAGGTGATGGAGTTGGGGTTGAGGTCAGCGGGAAGGGGGCTGGGTGGGAGTGGGTTTAGAGGTCTGGGGTAGCTGGAAGGAGGCTAAGGATGGAGTTGGGGGCCAGGTCAGCTGGGGAGGGCACTGGGATGAAGTTTGAAGGGGGGCTCAGAGGAAGTTGGGTTAGCTGAGGAGGGGGCTGCCGACGGGTTGGGGGAGGTGGGAGGGGAGCAAGTTGGCAGAGAGGGATGATTGAGGATTGTGTTTAGGGCTAACTGAAGGGGACAAGGACAAAGTCAGGACAGGAAGAGGCTGAGGGATGGAAGGGGATCGGCTGTGCCACGGGGGTCCAGGGAACCTCAGGGTGAGTGGAGAGCTTATGTGGGGGTGGGGTCCGGGAGGAGGAGTCAGGGTGGGTGATGAGAAGGGAGGTGGAGGAAGAGGAAGGGCCCTGGGCTGGGAGGCCTGGGGGTGTGTCTGGCCCGAGGTTGGCCAGTTAGCAGGAGCTGGGATGGTCTCCGTTTGAATCCACTGCAAGGATTTGGAGAGGAATTGCCTTCTGTTGGGTCAGAGGAGCTGATTATTGGGTGAAGCCCCTTGGGAACAGTGTGCTGGTCCACTGCTCCGTCTGTTTCTAGGGTGGAGGGTGCCAAGGGACAAGTCCTAGGGTGCATGAAGCTCGTGCGGGTGATTGAATTTTTCAGGAACTGCAGTGGGAGTTTTGGGGACGATGACATTGAGGGACGTGGGTGGCACTTTGTTTTTCCCGGGTAGCGGGGGTTGCTCGGGGCTGAGGTGGGCGGCTGAAGACAGGTGCGATGAACTGTAGCAGCAGGTCCCCAGCTCAGTCTGTAGACTGTTGCTAGGTGTCCTCGAGGCAAATGGCAAGTTCACTAACTTGAGTGTGTGCGCGTGTGCTGCTGTGGTCCTGCGGTGACGGCGTCAGGGGCTCTGGGAAAGGGCCTGTGTTCCCTCGTGGTGCCACCTCACCTAGGGGGCATGATGAAGGCGGCAGCAGGTAAGGTGCAGGGTTGCTGCAGGGACCCGGCGAGGGAATGCAGGAGGGAATCCCTGCTGGTGGCACAGCGAGGGTGTGCGGAGCCGGCGCAGAGCAGAGTGTTCTAAATTGAGTTTCCCCTGGAGGGGGAGGTGGGTGGGAGAATGATGGGGTTGTCACAGAGGAGGGAAAAGAAAGAATGGCAGTTTGACTCCGTCACCCTCATGGGGGTGCACGTGAGAGCCACCCCAGGACCTCAGAAAGCGCCCAGAGGAGCAAGACAGACAGCCAGTTATCAAAAGGAGGAAAGAGCCAGGTGGGAGGTCAGCTGTCCAGTGCCGCCCAGGGCACGCGTGGCCAGGAGCAAGCGTCGGCCGCAGAAGGCCTGGGTCGTCCCGATGGAGGCTCCCCAAGGCCACCGAGCCCCTGAAACTCGCCTGGACTCGCGCTCGCATGACACCTGCGGGCTTCGCAGCCTCAGCGTCCTGGACACGGGGGTCTTCCCTTCTGGGGAGTGGGTGGGCCTGGGCCCTGCAGGGGGCAGAGCAGCTGTCCTGCCTCCTCCCACTCCAGGGCAGGACTCTCAGTGTGTCACCACACTGTCCCCAGACATGGCCTCCCGGCCCTTGGGCAGAGTCACCGCGGCTGAGAGCCGTTCTCAGGACAGAGCTAGCTTTACTCCCACGTGGAGACCCCTGGCTCCCTCCGTGCCGGGGACCGTCCCCTGGTTCTGGGTGCTGTCACTTCAGAGGAGGAGACACCAGAGTGCTTGGAGGAGCTTGGACCTCCTCCTAGGTGGCTCTGAGTGGCCTTTGGACCCTTACTGATGGACTAACTGACCAGCCGCGAGCGCTGAAGGACGTCCACATTTACAGTTGGTCCCCTTGGCCTCCCCTTGGCCTCCTCTTGGTCTCCCCTTGGCCTCCACTTGGTCTCTCCTTGGCCTTCCCTTGGCCTCCCCTTGGCCTCTTCTTGGTCCCCCCTTGGCCCTCCCCTTGGTCTCCCCTTGGCCTCCCCTTGGTCTCCCCTTGGCCTCCCCTTGGTCTCCCCTTGGCCTCCCCTTGGTCTCCCCTTGGCCTCCCCTTGGCC